AAAAAGGGGGAACATGACTGAAAAAGCAGCACAAATACAATAGGTTGACAAACAGTGTTGATTACAAAAAAGAAAAAAAAAGAAAATAACAGACATGGGTTGACAATAGAGGAGTGAGGTAGATTACAGGGAATTTATTAGGTAGTGTTTAGTTTTTATCTTAAACTGGTTGAGAGAGGGACAGTCTTTAACATGGTTGGGAAGGTCATTCCACATTCTGGGCCCCTTGATTTGCAGAGCATTTCTAGTTTGATTAAGACGTACTCTAGGAATATCAAAACTGTATTTATTTCTGGTGTGGTGCTCATGGGTTCTGTTACAACCTTCTATGAAGCTTTTAAGATCAGGATTGGCATTATAGTTTAGCGTTTTATATATGTATAATACACATGAGAGGATGTGCAATGACTTAATATCTAACATATTAAGAGATTTGAGTAGGGGTACCGAGTGATGTCTGGGGCCAGAGTTGGATATTGTTCTAATAGCGGCTTTGTGTTGGGTAATTAGAGGACGTAAGTGATTTTGGGTAGTAGAACCCCAAGCACAAATACCATAGTTGAGATAAGGATAGATAAGGGAGTAATAGAGAGTCACCAGAGCAGGGCGTGGTACATAATATCTGATCTTAGGGGTTTCCTCTATCATGTCTAGTGTGTATATTTCTCTAAGACATCTCTCTACCGCTGCCCAGTGGACGGGGCAGATAACATATCAATTATAACACTGGAAAGAATTTTGTCAGTGTCAGAGTAGTTAACAAATGGAATGCATTAGGCAGTGATGTGGTGGAGGCTGACTCCATACACAGTTTCAAATCAAAATCAAAATCAAAACGTTTATTCAGATAAAAGTACATATAAAGAAGATATAGATGTAGATAAATGTAGATATAGTAGAGCCTAATAGACTCAGGAACTTGTACACTAGTTGATTTACAGTACTAGTGGCTGTACAAGAATATAACAACTCTTCTATATATCTAAAAAAAAGTTGAGAGCCGAAGCTCAACCCCTGCAAGTACAACTAGGTGAGTACTAGCTCTCTACGTATGTCAGCTGCTTAAATAATTTAGTTTAGTTTAGTTCGGTTCATTTATTATGCACCCTATACCCATCGTGGGCGGTAGTGGAAAGGGCTAGAAATTTTACTTGTGGTCGCTCTCGAACCTGTAACCACAATTGTCTGTGTATGGAAGAAAACGGATGCATAGAGTGGGGGGAGACTTCTTTAATTGTTTAATAATAATAATTATAATAATTATTTATTTAGGAACAGTACATACATAGTTGCAGCGTTACAGTACAAACATTCTGTTAGATTTAAAGATAGAGGTAGTACATACAATACCTAAAGCCACTAGTACGCATAGCGTTTCGGGCAAGGAGAGGTGGGGAAAAAATACTTAAACTGAAACTTAATAATAATTGAGCTTAAAGTATAAATTGTGTTGAATGAAAAAAAAATAATAAAAGATAAGAAAAAGGGGGGGAACATGGTAGAAAATAGCCAATATATAAGTTGGTCAACAAAGCTTTTTTTTTTTTTTTAAATAGTAAGACATGGGTTGACATTTAGAAGTAAGGTAGGTTACATGAGTTAATTAGGTAGTGCTTAGTTTTCATCTTAAACTGGTTGAGAGATACAATCTTTGACATAATTGGGAAGGTCATTCCACATTCTGGGTCCCTTGATTTGCAGAGCATTCCTAGTTTGATTAAGTCTAACTCTTGGGATATCAAATAGGTATTTGTTTCTGGTGTGGTGCTCATGGGTTCTGTTACAACCTTCTAGGAAACGTTGAAGGTCAGGATTGACATTACAATTCAGAGTTTTAAATATATAGAGTACACAAGAGAAGATGTGCAGTGACTTAATATCTAACATATTCAGAGATTTGAGTAAGGGTACCGTGTGCTGTCTGGGGCCAGAGTTATTGTCCTAATTGCAGCTTTGTGTTGAGTAATTAGAGGACGTAAATGATTTTGGGTAGTAGAACCCCAAGGACAAATGCCATAGTTGAGATAAGGATAGATGAGTAATAGAGCAATTCAGCTTGTTATCGATGAGGATACCAAGGAATTTACCATCAACTTTACTACTGATTTGTATATTGTTTATTCTTAAATTAATTTCATTTGAGGATTTATTACCAAACAAAATATAGAAAGTTTTGTCAATGTTAAGGGTGAGTTTGTTAGCAGTTAGCCAAAGATGGACTTTATTTAGTTCAGTACTCACAGTGACATTTAGAGCAAGAGGGTCAGGACTGGAGAAAATGAAACTTGTTTCATCAGCAAATAAGATTGGTTTGAGGTGTTAAGAGGCATTTGGAAGGTCATTAATGTAGATGAGAAAGAGGAGAGGGCCAAGTATGCTGCCCTGTGGAACACCGATGTTTATAGGTAGTGTCGAAGAAATGGAATTATTCACAGAAACATACTGGAGCCTGTCAGTAAGGTAGGACTGAAGGTATTGCAGGGAGTGACCTCTGACTCCATAATGATGTAATTTAAGAAGGTTTTGGTGGTTGACAGTGTCAAAAGCCTTACGTAGGTCCACAAATATCCCGATAGGGAACTCATTTTTATCAAGAGCTGCATGTATCAAGTTAATCATAATAATAAGTGCATTGTTAGTGCTTTTTTTGGGTCTGAAGCCATATTGACAAGAGCTTAGTATATTGTGTTTGGCTAGATAAGAGTAAAGCTGCTTGTAGATTAGTTTTTCAAATATTTTTGACAAGTTTGGCAGAATTGACATAGGTCTGAAGTTGTTGACATCAGTGAGATCACCACATTTATGGACTCAGTATATAGGCAAGACAACAACATCTCTTTCCAGGCAATTAACAATGCATAAGAAACAGGGCTTCATTAAGGAACATATAATCTCTTCCCACAACCAGACCATCACCAGAGAAGTCTTAACAAGCAACACAGAAATCATCGATAGATACAGTGATAGCAGGCGGCTTGACATCTGCGAGGCACTACACATCAAAAAGTCAACACCAGCAATCAACAGCCAATTAATGCACAACTATATTCTACCCACTTCAAGACTCCGTACCAATATAGAAGCATCAAGAGGAAGTATGGGCCAATAGGCCCTTTGCAGTTACTTCCATTCTTCCCTCTCATTTATCCAATTTATACCCATTGCACCATGTTCTGTCTTGTGTTGGTCAAAAGTTTGTTCACCTCATCCAAAACTGTTGCAACATATCACCTCACCCAAATGCGAGTATACAAGACAAGCTGTTCAATGTTAGCATTAAGTAAAACTGTTTAGTGTTTTCAGGTTACAGTTGTGTGTGTGTAAACTAAAGTCTTTGAAAATGTAATAAGTTATTATGAAACGCATTCAAGCGTTGCGTCAGACTAGAAATAAAAATGAATTTTTGAGAATTGATTTTTCAATTACCATCGACAGTAAAAAGAAACATAAGAAATAGAGAAAATTTGTGTTAGAATTATTAATCTTACTTTTTCAGTTATATTTAACAACATATGTTTACAAGAAAGACTGCTACCAAAATATACTAATATATACACACATATATAAATTATATAATATATAAAATATATAATATATAAAATACATTATGTAATATAAAATAGATTATCTAATATATTGTATATAATACAATTCCTTACCATCTAGAGGGGAAAGAAGCACCAAATCACTTAATGTTTTCATTTTATTTGAAGATTTTGTAAAAAATGCGACATCTTCAGGATTATTTGCTCAAGACTACGCACACAGGTATGCCAAGTTTATATAGAAAAACAAACATTCATAGGCATGGGTTCACCTCACCCTATGAAAAATTAATCCCTAATTGTTTAGAAAAAAAAAAAAGGCCAAGGTGATTGCTGCCTAATTTCCTGCTTATGGTTGTCTACTCTTATCTTCCCTCTGGATCAAAGGAGAGCAATCAAACAAATGTATGCCCGATGTCGAATTCATTTGAAAGTGTGAAAGTGGGTTACTGGGATCAGCTCTCAAATGAATATGGCCTCAAGTGTTTGTTGCCTCCATTTTTTTTTTTTTGCAGGGATATTCCTTTGCGGGCCCTAAGCCTCTGGCTGGCTCACTAAGTGTTACTTATTTCTGTTTTACTTAGGCGGAGTATGATTATTTATGACTTATGGTCGCTTCAGTAAGATTTTGTCCCATGTGTTTACAACTTTTCTGCTCTGTTGAATCTAAGTTGAAATCTCATCGAGTTTGTAACTGTGCACTGTGTTAGATAATGTTCCAGTGTTCCGTCAGGCATTTTTCCAGTGCTGACATTTCCTCTCATTTTCTGGAACCTGTAAGCCTAGTTCCCATGCACATGGGTATCCAAGCCTGATGCAATATAAGTGAACTTCTGTTGTTCTACTGATCCCTTTCATCAAAATAAGTGGTTCGTAGTTGGTTGAATTCTTGTACCAACCCACAGATTCTGATGTTGCAACTACTGTGTTGTGCTCACTGTACATCTTTTGCATTACTCTATTTCTAATTACTTAATCCGTGATAGACTGTGGTATGTAAATGTCTACATTTTTTCTCTTTGTTGCAAGTTTTGCAGCTTCATCTGCAATATCATTTCCTATTATTCCCACATGACTTGGCACCCAGTTGGTAAGTACTTGACGGCCTTGGTGTTTGAGTGTTTGCATTAGTGATATTATATTTGTGGTCAGATGGATGTTGTCACGTATGTGCTCTTGATGCAAGGTTTCAATGAATGGCAGTTCTCTAATCTGTGTGAATGATAACATGCTATCGGTGATCAGCAAGAGCATGTTCCAAACTCTTTTGAATGGCTAATATCTTTGTTTGTAAAGTTGAACACCCGTTTGAGTCTCTCCCAACTATTTACAGTTTCCTGCCTTAATTTTTGATCATGTACCAGGTACAGTACTAGCTTGATTTTTTTTTTCTTCTCTGTAGTCACCTGAATTTATTTTGTTCTCCAAGGATATACAATGGTTAGAAAGATTATGTTTTATGCTTTTGATTTACACCATTTTATTAAAAATCTATGAGCAACATTTATTAAGATAAATTTTTTTTAGTTCAGATATATAGCATCCAAAACTACTTTAACATAACATTTTAAATGTACAAAATCCTGGTTGAAGCTGTTAGTCTTCCCTTGATGCATCATGATCCGTGTTCTCAAATGAAGTCTGGTCAGTAATTGATCGAGTCAGGGCAGAAGACAGCTCCATCTGACAGATGAAAAAATTTAATGAAAATTGACACTAAAATGATACTAAATGATACTACTTATGAATGTTACTAAAACTTGTGTATAATAAAGTTAACTAGCACAGACAATTAAAAAACTGAAATAAGAACTGAGCAGTTTACTATACCATTTTCCTATTCCTGAGCCATCTTGAGTATCCAACAGACTACAGTAAATTTTTTTAACACCCTTTATCTCCAATCATTTAAAAACTGTTCAATGAGGTACACAGTACTGTATTTTGTACAGAAAACTGACACGTTTCCTTCTACAGAATTATGTACTTTTTGAGCACCCAATTCTCCCTTTACAAGGATTGTGTGTGTGTGTGTGTGTAATTATTTAAGTGTAATTACCCAAGTGTAGTTACAGGATGAGAGCTACGCTTGTGGTGTCCCGTCTTCCCAGTATGCTGTCATATAACGCTTTGAAACTACTGACAGTCTTGGCCTCCACCACCTTCTCAAAAAGAAGCATCTTGGAAGTCATAGGGTCGAACTTCAGGCTACGAGGCCATGGAGGATGCTCCAAATAATGTATCTCACTGTTGGACAATCGACACATAAGGAGTTTCATTCACCTGGGCTCTAGGAGATTCGAACCGCAGAACCCACGCATGTGAGGTAGAAGCTCTATCGACTGGGCTATGAGCAGTCAATATCTGGTGGGGCAGCAAAGCTAACAGAGTTATAGTTCAATAGATTTGCGAGGCCCTCTCTCCACTGGATACTGGGCAGAGATAATGCCCCTATAATTATATAGGGGCAATATATATAATATATATATATATATATATATATAATTATAATTGAAAACTCACACTCCAAAAGTGACTCGAACCCATACTGCCAGGAGCAACGCAACTGGTATGTACAGGGACGCCTTAATCCGCTTGACCATCACGACCGGACATAAGGAAGTGATGCAGTATGGGTTCGAGTCACTTCTGGGGTGTGAGTTTTCAGTTGTATATAGTCCTGGGGACCATTCAGGCTTGTTTGCATATATATATATATATATATATATATATATATATATATATATATATATATATATATATATATATATATATATATATATAATTATATATATATATATGCAATTGACGATCACAAAACACTGATCATTTTATGCGGAAAATCCACAGAGAAATATGAAATGAGGTGAACGTTTCGGCTTTGTTAAAGCCTTGAGTCAGTCTGGTGTTGACAAAGGCTTTAACAAAGCCGAAACGTTCACCTCATTTCATATTTCTCTGTGGATTTTCCGCATATATATATATATATATATATATATATATATATATATATATATATATATATATATATATATATATATATATATATATGTCGTACCTAGTAGCCAGAACGCACTTCTCTGCCTACTATGCAAGGCCCGATTTGCCTAATAAGCCAAGTTTTCCTGAATTAATATATTTTCTCTTATTTTTTTTCTTATGAAATGATAAAGCTACCCATTTCATTATGTTTAAGGTCAATTTTTTTTTATTGGAGTTAAAATTAACGTAGATATATGACTGAACCTAACCAACCCTACCTAACCTATCTTTATAGGTTAGGTTAGGTAGCCGAAAAAGTTAGGTTAGGTTAGGTAGGTTAGGTAGTCGAAAAACAATTATTTCATGAAAACTTGGCTTATTAGGCAAATCGGGCCTTGCATAGTACGCTGAGAAGTGCGTTCTGGCTACTAGGTAAGACATATATATATATATATATATATATATATATATATATATATATATATATATATATATATATATATATATATATATATATATATATATATATATATATATATATATATATATATATATATATATATATACAGTATATACAGTGGAACCTCTATTAACGAGTTTAATCCGTTCTGGCACCGAGCTCGTTACCTGGAAAACTCGTCTTTGGAAACAAATTTCCCCATTTAAAATAAAGGAAATAAATTTAATCCGTTCCACTCCCAAAAACATCCATACTTGTATGACTTTTTTTATATAAATATAATATTGCACATGTAAATATAAATGTTTTGTTGTAGTGTTTTAATATTTACTTTACCTTATGAAGAGTAGTTGCTGGCTTGAGGGAGACGATGGGGAGGTGGGAAGGATGAGAGGGGTTATGGTGTGGAAGGAGAATCCACCTCTGAGTCAGGCGGACTCTCTCTTCTTGGGAATTTCACCCAAATTTCATTTCAAATGTCACACAAGGATGCGTTAGACCAGCACCAAATAAAAAACTACGTTGATTACACTCGTTGTGTCAACAATATAATAGTCTTACCACGAAGATATAATACAATGCCGTTTTCTCAAATAGGCAATGTGGTTATTAAAGAAAACGGAAATTTCATGGCAAACATGTATACAATCCCCAAGTCGATCGGATAAGAATTGGATTTTATAGAAATATTTGCTCAAATGACGCTTGAGCGCGGTGTTTGGGTGCATTCAAGAGAAAAAAAGTGTGTTACGTTCAAGCAACATATACCTGCGAAAGTGATAACACTCATAAAGTGTTATCACAAAGTGATAAATTAATTAAACATTTACACACACCGGGTTGTCACTGCTTTATCAGGGCAGCTTTTCCAAGAATGCGTTCACCTTTTCAAACATTCCAAACACTTCCCTGATTTCAGTGGAAGAGGCAGCATCCTCCCTTACCTCCTCATTCCCTTACTAATGGTGTAAATTGTTGATGAGGACCTGCCATACTTCCTTGTGAAATCAATCACACAGACACCACACTCATGCTTTGCTATAATTTCCTTCTTTAAATCCACAGTAATTGTGTCTTTCTTCCTCTTGACAACACTATCTTTAGCAAGCAGCTTCTTTGGAGACATCGTGTGTTACAAATTGTAGTCGCAAAACCACTAAAAACCCAAAGAAAAGCTCAAATAAATCCAGAGGGATGCTTGTCGTGAGAGATACAACAACAACACTGGCGTCGGAGGCGTCCGAGAATTTGCGAGAACCCGCGAGACGCTAGGAAGCGCCATGTGGTTTCACTCGTTAATAGAGGCGAGCTCGTCAATAGAGACAAATTTGCTGCGAGTGGCTTGCTCGTTACTGGAAAAACTCGTTAATAGAGCCACTCGTTAATAGAGGTTCCACTGTATATATATTATATATATATATATATATATATATATATATATATATATATATATATATATATATATATATATATATATATATATATATATATATATATATATATTATTAAATATGACCGAAAAAGTAAGATTAATAATTCTAACACGAATTTTCTCAATCTTTCGTACATTTCGCTTCACTGTTGGAGGTAAATCAAAAATCAATTCTCCAAAATTCATTTTTATTTCTAGTCCGACGCGACACGAGCGCGTTTCGTAAGACTTATTACATTTTCAAAGACTTTAGTTCACAAATACACAACTGAATAGAACTTACGTATCTCCGATTTTATATCTACATTTGAGTGAGGTGGAAGGGGTGATGTGGCATTAACACAAGACAGAACAAAATGTGGTATTAATAGGGTATTAATTTCATCAACACAAGACAGAACAAGAGTATTAATAGGGTATTAATTTCATCAACACAAGACAGAACACGAAACAATGGATATTGAATAGAAGTGTTTGTAGAAAGCCTATTGGTCCATATTTCTTGATGCTTCTATATTGGAGCGGAGTCTTGAGGTGGGTAGAATATAGTTGTGCAATAATTGGCTGTTGATTGCTGGTGTTGACTTCTTGATGTGTAGTGCCTCGCAAACGTCAAGCCGCCTGCTATCGCTGTATCTATCGATGATTTCTGTGTTGTTTACTAGGATTTCTCTGGCAATGGTTTGGTTGTGGGAAGAGATTATATGTTCCTTAATGGAGCCCTGTTGCTTATGCATCGTTAAACGCCTAGATAGAGATGTTGTTGTCTTGCCTATATACTGGGTTTTTTGGAGCTTACAGTCCCCAAGAGGGCATTTGAAGGCATAGACGACGTTAGTCTCTTTTAAAGCGTTCTGTTTTGTGTCTGGAGAGTTTCTCATGAGTAGGCTGGCCGTTTTTCTGGTTTTATAGTAAATCGTCAGTTGTATCCTCTGATTTTTGTCTGTAGGGATAACGTTTCTATTAACAATATCTTTCAGGACCCTTGTGTGACATTTGAAATGAAATTTGGGTGAAATTCCCAAGAAGAGAGAGTCTGCCTGACTCAGAGGTGGATTCTCCTTCCACACCATAACCCCTCTCCTCCTTCCCACCTCCCCTTCGTCTCCCTCAAGCCAGCAATGACTCTTCATAAGGTAAAGTAAATATTAAAACACTACAACTAAACATTTATATTTACATGTGCAGTATTATATTTACATAAAAAAAAGTCATACAAGTATGGATGTTTTTGGGAGTGGAACGGATTAAATTTATTTCCTTTATTTTAAATGGGGAAATTTGTTTCTTAAGACAAGTTTTCCAGGTAACGAGCTCGGTGCCAGAACGGATTAAACTCGTTAATAGAGGTTCCACTGATATATATATATATATATTATATATATATATATATATATTATTAAATATGACCGAAAAAGTAAGATTAATAATTCTAACACGAATTTTCTCAATCTTTCGTACATTTCTTTTCACTGTTGGTGGTAATTCAAAAATCAATTCTCCAAAAATTCTAGACTAGAAATAAAAATAAAAATGAATTTTGGAGAATTGATTTTTGAATTACCACCAACAGTGAAAAGAAATGTACGAAAGATTGAGAAAATTCGTGTTAGAATTATTAATCTTACTTTTTCGGTCATATTTAATAATATATATATATATATATATATATATATATATATATATATATATATATATATGAATGAATGAATGAAATATATATATTATATATATGAATGAATGAATGAATATATATATTATATATATGAATGAATGAATGAAATTTAAGTACCACCTCAAGCTGGAAGAAGGGGACCCTTAACATCGGAGAAAAGCATACAACGTATTAGAGGCGATATTTAGGTTCCCTCCAATACTGTTTCTATGTTCTTTTATTCTACCTAAGCGTTATATGACAAAGAGAGCGCCTGACAGCTGAGTGGAGAACACTTTGGATTCGTAGTCCTGAGGTTCCAGGTTCGATCCCCAGTAGAGGTGGAGACAAATGGGCAAAATGTTTCTTTCACCCTGATGCCTCTGTTACCTAGCAGTAAAAAGGTACCTGGGAGTTAGACAGCTGCTATGGGCCGCTTCCTGGGGAGTGTGTAACAAAAAAGGAGGCCTGGTCGAGTATTGGGCCACGGTAACGCTAAGCCCCAAAATCTCCAAGATGACCTCAAGATAACCACCCACTTCCTGTTGTGCTTTATTAGGTATTTAATATCTATCTATATATATATATTATAGTGTGTGTGTGTGTGTGTGTGTGTGTGTGTGTGTGTGTGTGTGTGTGTGTGTGTGTAGTAAATATGACTGGGAAGGAGTAACTAATCCTTTGACTGTGGGAAATTTTGTTGGCATCAAACTATTGCTAAATGGGGTTAAAAAATTAAATAGCATTTTCCTATCCGTATATAAAACTATATGGCATAACACTGAACTATAACTCATGAGCAATGAGCATGGTTAAAATAGATATAACTATGGTGCTTTGGAGAAGTACTGTATAACAAATTTGTCTTCTAAACCAAATCTTAATTAAAAATGTACAGTACTAACATTTGTATTTATAATCTCTTGAAAGTTATGAATGAAATGGTGGGGATTTCATGACTTTTCAAATATCTCACCTGGTTATGTATAAGGTTGTGAGAAAGGTGCTGGAGTGGTTCACCGAGAGTGGCAACCAGCTGAGCCTGAACACTCTGCAAAGGCGGCAGTGCAGCATACCGTTTGAGTTCGGCAACACTCATGAATCTGTTCTCCACAATTCCGCCAATTAACACCAAGCCGGGAATCTTCCTTTCAAGTTTAAGCAACTGAAAAAAAAATTTGAATGCTGTTCATGAGAAGCAACATAAGCGGGCATACCATGCATCCTTCACGAACATACAGCATCGAATGTAATGAAAACATCTCTTTCTGGTAGTGCCCCGGTGGCTCTCTCTAGCTTTCTCGCAATGTCAGCAAAAGTCAGCGAAGCTTTACAGAAACTGCTGGGGTTACAAGACCTGAAGCCTCAAAACTGCCAAACTCCCTAAACAATTCAACCATTTCACACATAACTAGATCGAATCCATTAATGCTGATTGCAACCACAAGGCAGCTTGCAGCTCAAGTCCCCCACCAGCTTGTCACTTATTTTTGGCAGCTTGTCACTTATTTTTGGAGCAAATAATAACCACACAAATAAACTAATGTACCAAGAATGGAGGAAGGGAGACAGGGAGCCACTTTGCCTCTTCCAGAAAGAGTTGTTTCATTACATTCAATGCTGGTTTTCTGGGGAAACCCTTTGGCGGCTACCTACCTGAAAGAGACAGAGCTGTGGAAAAATGCCCAGGTTCAGACTCCAAACAAGCAGCCTCAGATATCAAAGGGTCCAAACAGACCCCTTGATATCCGAGGGTGGATATCAAAATACGAGAAAACCGCCGACCGGAGGGAGGGAGAGAGGGTTGCCAGGGAGCCTCTGGGACTCGCCCAGAAAATGGCATTTTATTACATTTAATGCTGGTTTTTTAGGTCCAGATAGACACAGTCAACCCAACCACCTCTTTCTTGTAGTATCTCTGTGGCTGTATCATAAAAACTAAGTAAATCTGTTACAGTATGGTTTTTGAACAGAAAAATCATGTGTATGTCCATTATTATGTCATTACTTTCTAGGTGTTCTCCCCATTTGGCTTTAACAATATTTTCTAGTGTTTTGACTACCAAGCAAGTTAATGATATGGGTCTATAATTTAGCAGTTTTTCTCTACTATCAATTTTTATAGATTGGTACTATGTTCGCCCTTTTCCATATACTAAATCTGCTAAGATGCCTTTGCACAAGGATGCCTGGTTTACAAATCTGCCTGGCCAAATGTCCTACATTCTTCCTTCATAGGCTTCCCAGTCTATTGCTTTTAAGTTGAAGTCCCCCAGTACCAACAATCATGATTTATCTTATCTACTTTTACTATAATCTCTCTCATGACCATTATGAGAGCCCTCTCATTTGTCATCTAGTTCCTCCTTTGTCCATGTGTTGCTTGCTGATGGGCTGTAGGCATTTACAATTTTCAGTTTATCATCCTGTTTCCAGATCTGCAATGCCATTATGTCAACTTTGAGAGTTTTTGATTACAGTATTAACTCTTACCTTAAGATGTTCTTTCATCAGCGCAGCCTCTCATAACCCATACCTCTTAGTTTTGGAACTAGTTATTGACATATGAACCTTCTCCAGCTTCGTCTTTTGCTAGATAAGGTATGGACTCCATGCTGGAGCTGCATACTCCATGACTGGTCTGACATATGTGGTATACAAGGTTCTAAATGTCACCAACTCTACATTATAGGACAAATGCATTTAGCCTAAATTTAAAGTTTGCAAATGAAGTTTTTTCTTGAAGTAAAACAATTCCCTACAGTTAAGTTCTCCTTTTACATGAATTAAGGAGTTACATTGCATACAAGCATAAACAGCATACTTTCTCTTCCTCACCTTGGATACCGCAGGTTGATCACCAACAAAAGTTACTGTTGACGATACGTACAACTTCAGAAGAGCTTCATATTTTGTGCCAGTGAATGCGAGCTTCATTATCTGAAAATTTAAAGCATAACTACGTTAACCTAACCCACACATAGGTTATTTTCAGCCGCAATCTTGCGACTTGTTCTCTGAATGATTACATTAATAACACACACTGCTGGTCCATTACCCTATAGACAGAGTAGTCATTTTTACCAAATACAGTAAAGAGCAAAAATCCAAGCAAGATGATGGCATTTCCCTTATAAAAAAATAAATAAAATTGAGTGTAATGAAGCGCCATTTTTTGGGCGAGTCCCGGAGGCTCCCTGGAGCTATGCCACCAGACTAGTCCCGACCCAAGAAATTTGAGTTACGGTATGTGGAATCAACATGTTACTGGAAGAGATAAGAAACTAGGGAGATGTGATTACCACATACAAAATACTCAAGGGAATAGACAAGGACAGACTATTTAGCAGGGGTCATACATGAACAAGTGGGGGACAGATGGAAACTATGTACCAAAGAATTTTTTCAGCATCGGTAAATAATAAATGGAATGCACTAAAAAGTGAACTGGTGGACACAAACTCTATAAACAAATTTAAATGTAGGATAACAAGGCTCCAATACAATCTGGAAGTTATATACCAGTCAATTAAGAGTCAAGAGGCAGAACACAAGAGCCCTGTACTCATCCATTATATTACCCCCGGGGATCAACATATGATAAACACAACAGTGTATAGGACTAAAAATTATGAATGAATCTTTGACTGAGAAGAAAGCACTTGCATAAAATTAGTCTCCAATAATGTAAATTGACTCCATATGCTTAGAGATGACTTTAATACACTATGTTGCAACATACAAAGATCACACCATCCCTTGATATGTTAAGTAAAATTATATGTACATGTGCACTCTTTTTGGAAAGTTAAATGGCCTGGATAAATATTACATGGTTGGAAATGTTTTAAGGATACCTGGACAAAGGTTAATTATTACATTTTCAGCACCCACTATTGCCTTTAGCAGTGAAAATGGTTAAATATTAAGTCATCAATATCTCTTTTTTCACAGCTATATATTTCAATTTATGAACTGCTCAAGTTGTATACAGTACTCACATTATTGTTATGTTTCAGGTATTCCAAGTTTATCTTGTTCAGCTGGACTCTAGCTTCAAATAGATCAGCCATAGTCATAGGCAGCTGATGAAATACTGCTACTAACTTGGCACAATCAATTTTTTCCAAGAACTCTTTAGCAAGAATTTGCTCAAAAGGATTGATCTGTCCGAGAAAAATAAAATTATTACAATACAGTAGTACTTTATGGTCAGTTTTGGTATTAACACAGTTATTATTTATCTAGTTAAACACAAGACTAAATTGGAGAAGGTTCAAATGTATATCATCAGACTAGTACCCGAGCTTAGGGGGTATGAGCTACGTGGAGAGACTACTACAACTAAACCTCGTGTCACTGGAAGAAGAGTTAGGGGGGGGGGGGGGGAGACATAATCCCCATATACAATATTCTCAGAGGATAGATAAAGAAAGCATATATAACATAGGTGGTACATGCACTAGTGGAAACTGGGTACCCAAATGAGCCACAGAGACATTAGAAAGAACTTCTTTAGTGTCAGAGTAGTTAACAAATGGAACGCACTAGACAGTGCTGTGTAGGAGGCAGACCCCATACACAGTTTCAAAAGTAGAGCTGAAGCTCAACCCCTGCAAGCACAATTAGGCGAGTACAACACAGTACTGAACTTTTAGTATGGTGACACTTATATATTTTCAATGTTAAGAAATGCATGTGATAACATATTTGGAAATAAATCAACCGGTCATATGAACTAAATATAAACAATACCCAAAATGGGAGCAGAGCAGAGCAGACAGTAAATTCCTTGGTGTTCACATTCACAAAATATTGAACTTTAATTGCAATTAACAAAATATAGCAAAAAAACAGCATTGAATGTAATGAAACACCATTTTCTGGGCGAGCCCGAGGCTCTCTGGAGCTGTCGGGATAATGGGCAATACTTTAGACCAGGGCAATAGTCAATGGAGTTCAGCCTACTGAGGACCACGTGCCAGAATCTGGGCCCCAATCAGAGAGACAGGGAGCAATGGCCCTGGGAAAACCCCCCTGTGGCTGGGTTTTTTCTTTATCTGTAATTGACTGGGGTTGGGCACCCAGAAAGATAGGCCATAACAAACCAGCCCCCCCCCCCACATGGTAAGAAAATTGCAACCGAAAACTGAACAGAGAGGCACAACCTCCTCAACTCCCAAGGGAACAAGCAAACGTCACACCACGCCGCTTGTCCTTACTCGCCAACATTGCTCCTCCCACCATACTGTTATTGTTTACATTACACTATTTACACACGTTATTTATACGTATCTACACATTTCATTCACCATAACAATGCAAGTAAGTTGGTATTGTGGCCAAACAGCATAGTCGCTACTATGCACTACACGAGAAATCACACAGCAGCCAGCAGACGATGCTAGGAGTACGACACCACCTCCCTCGCCTAAATGGCTCCTCCCAACATACTCCTGTTGCTGTTATTACACTATATACACACATTGTATACATTACATACAGCCTCTGTTGAGGTGATCAGATTCTGGTCTTGGCCTCCAGTATGTGCTCGTGATTCATTAGAGCCTGATGTGGTACCAGGGTTTAGAGGACTTATTGTGGGTAGCTCAGACACAGAAGGGACCTACTGGAAAGAGGCATTTCATAACATTGAACAACAAATTTTTTTTAGCTTGGTTCAAATTGTCGTGGAAAAAGATTATAGACGCATAATGGACTCAAGAGGTGAACACCAATATTTAGCTAAGAAAGTTACAGAATACGCAGATTATGCAAATTTTGCTTAAACCACACCAAGGATAAGCAAAGGTATAGGACATAACCAAAGTAGTACAGTATTGTATGTTCCATTGCGATATACCGGACCTTCGACAAGCCGTCAACTTCCTGTCCTTGTCGAGGCCACTAGTGTTAGTGGCCCTTGGGTAAATCAGGTACAGTATGTGTGTGTCTAGAGGCTATAATAATAAAATAATTACTGTACCTCTTCTTGTAATTTTTGTAAAGCTTTTATTTTCTTATCACAGGTATCTGCAGGATGTACATCTTCATTTGGATCTTTATAGATGGGCTCGGTAAGTTTCAAAACCACAGCCCGCTTCCAGTGAGGTATTGCAGGTTTTCGAATATTTGGTTTTCTTCTATATCTTAATATCTGAGTGAAGGGACTCTTGATACATAAGAATTGACGTCCAACTGATATGGACATGATGGCTTGTATGCTTCTGTATCACCTGTGTAGCAAAATTAAGGTACTGTATTAGTAATGACCCTGCTTAAATTTTATTAATAAGTACAGTAATATAACTTATGATACATAGCACTACTATAAGTAACTTCCAGGCTCTTACTGTAACACATGTAACCATATGAGTGGGGCAACAAACACTGCTGCGACCATTGTAACAACTGCAATGTTCACCAGTGTAATGATCACTGTAATCAAGTACTGTAATGATGATTTTACAACTACGGTAACACTCATTATAATGGTTGCTAAAACTAATAACCCCTTTATGCAGTAACAATCTCAGCAGAAAATGCTCATCCAGTTATCAGGGAAAGGGTGGAGAAATGATCAAGGTGTTATTGATATCTCGACAATTCTTTCAGCCCAGATGGAAGATAAGGTTACTGAAACAAATAATGCCGCCACCACTCCTCCAGGAACCTTGATAATTAGGGTAATTGACTCTGGCGGAGACCAGTCAACTAATACCGTGTTCTTGGGAACTTTTAATCTTTTATTCCTTACTGGATGAATGCAATTACTTTTAATTTAACTTCATGAATTACAAGGAATATATACTGCTTCAGTATACTGAAGCACCGTATACTGGTGCTTCAGTATACTTCTACCAGGTCCATATACCGGTGCCTTAGTATACTGCTACCAAGTCTGTATACCGGTGCTTCAGTATACTGCTACCAGGTCCATATACCGGTGCCTTAGTATACTGCTACCAGGTCCGTATATCGGTGCCTCAGTAGTATACTGCTACCAGGTCGGTATACGAACCTGGTAGCAGTATACTGCAGCACCTACACACCACTGGTCTACGCCACTACTCACACACCTCTGCTCTACACCTTCACTTCTCCTCTACTGTTTGTGTACGGTGACTGATATTCCCGCTGGGCTAAATGTTTTAATAATAATTAATATTAGTAAATTCATGAATAAGGAAATTATACACCGTAAAATATATAAAGTATTATAAGTAAAATATCTGTAAACTGTAAATGATAATATACGGTGTATAGTTAATGTGAACAACAGTAATTAGCCCTCGCTGGAAGCAAGTCTAATTACAATAACTAAAAGCTATATTAGAGTAACAAGATAAAGTAATTATAACATGTAAAAGTAAATTACCAAGTAAATTATGTTGGATACAATGTTGGTCTGAGAACACCAGATGATGCTACTTTACCCACAGGGTTATAAACCCATGGAACTGCCTACCCGCCGAAGCTTTTAACGCCAAAAAACTGTTCAATTATAAAACATTGAAATTGAAATTGAAATTGAAATTGAAATAAGTTTATAAAACATTTGCAACGTACGATTATGTTACGTTGTTCATACCTTTAAAACCTATGTACCTTCTTGAATATAAATAAATAAATCAAATTAATTACAAAAATAAATATTATCCAACTGGAAAAATCACCAGGGCAAATAGGGGACCTTTGACAGCCCGCCGGCTTCCTGTCCTTGTCGAGGTCACTAGTGTTAGTGGCCCTACAGGTAAATTCGGATACTTAAATTTTTTAAATTTTGCCCCGAGGGACGAGTTTATTGGGATACTGTACAGCATAATAATCCAACTGGGGGCCATCAGAGATTTATACAGTTGGATAACTATGAACGATGACTATGAAGAGGCTAGACTGGATTAGGTTATGTCTAATGTTAATACCTAATGTACAAGAACGTAAGAATTGTATATATTAATATATAAAAATAAATACAAACCAAATCTGCCTGAGTCGTGACGTCAGAGTGACGTCAGAGTGTTACAGGCCGCCCCCCCCCCCCGGGCCGGTGCTCCACACACACCTATGGTGACCTCCACACACACAACATTGGTAAGGTCTCTTATATCATCCTTTGCTAAGTGTTTGGTGAATTAACCTACCTAACACAAGGTGAACCTTGCGTAGCCTAACCCCGCTTGACCTGCTGCTGGTCAACATGGGCCCGGGTTCGACTCCCGGGCGGGGCGAGGCAGTCTGCACCTTAGGGTAAGGTCACCTGGTCACAGCCTCCACACCCATTTCAACAACGTAATTTCTTATTGCCCAAACCTGTACTTTATATTGTTAGTTAGGTTAGGATAGGTGAGGTTAGCTTCCTTTTAACGTCCATTAGCCAATTGTCTTACACCTGTTTCGTTACACCTGATGCTTCTGTTCACCTGGCAGTAAACAGGTTCCTGGGAGACATGTGTTGTAGGTTGCATCCTGGAGAAGGTTAGTAGTTGGCTCAGTGGGGGGGGGGGCCTCAACAAGTCCAACAGGCGTGCTGTCTCCGACAATAGAAAACCATACACAGTTTTAACTTTTTTTTTTTCATTTATTATGCACCCCATACCCATCTTGTGGGCGGTAATGGAAAGGGTTACAGAGGCACATAATGGGCTCAGGGACTGAACCCCACAATTCATTTAGCTAAGCAATGTAAAATCTTGATGAGCTAGTTACAAAATTCGGTATAAGTCGTCACATCAACAATGGGTTCGAGATCGGCTATAAGTTCGGTTTCTAAATTAAGCAACTGACATATGTGGAGAGCTAGTGTCACGATATGTTTGTCCTGCACACCGCCCCCCATCCAGTGGGCAGCGGTGGATAGGTTACAATCACTTAGTTACTACCTACAGTTAGCAAGCTGGGGATGTTTGGCTAAAATTTCTGGTAGCAGATCATTTTGAATGAAATATTTACATATTGCTGGAACATTGGTTATAGAATTGTCTCTGAATTCATGTATTTTTTTTTTTGGCAGTGATCGAGGGTGTGCAAATAATTTTGTTGACAGTTTACATTTGGTCCGGTCTACATCAGCAGATAATGAGAATTCCCAGAGATACTTGTAATCGAGTCTAAGCCGAGCAGTAGTAACATCTAGAGGCATGCTGATTTTATTGGATGAACCATAGTTCATCCAATATTCTTTGTACTGTGTACACATTTTCCCCCCCCCTCCCTTGTTCTCATTACCCTATAAAATCTTGTAGTTTTGCAGTCATTGTATCTCCTGTACTCATTACAATCAATCCCTATAGATATTACATCCTCTGGACTCTTTATACCCTGTTTGTATTGTGACACAGTGAACTGTCCGTTATCTTCCTCCTTTTCTGTACTATAATTGAACCTTAACTAGTATGTTATAGACCATAGTACAGTGTACTGTGCCATATATGCATTACTGTACTGTTTCATATTTTTAATAGGGTAATGGTGAGCCATGTTGGGTACAAAGGTGACAACCAAGAACATCTGACACCTAAGGATCATGCATTTGCTGGTGCTGTTAGTGGGTTCCTCACGCGGGGTTTCCTACAGCCCTTGGACGTTCTTAAAATTAGGTTTCAGGTGAGCATCGTAATACTTTTCTGTAAATTTTAAATATATGGTACAATTTGTATTCATTATAGTGGGGGGAAGTTACTGTAGCAAGAATCTTTAACTTGTACATAGTGCTGGAAATTTGGGGCATTTTATTAGACATAGATATTTATCTTTTTATTATGCTGTGAAAATGTATTCAAAAACCTTTACAAAACTGATGAATTCAAAATAATAAAAATTACAAACAGCATACAGTGTCCCCTTTCAAATTTGGACTTCTCAATAGCATAACAGAATAAACATAAACAGAACAATTTTTTCCCTGGATTTTCCTGTTGGAATTTCTAAAAAAACAAAAAAACTCTAGACTCTGGAGGATACACAGTGAAATCCAAATTACCAGTTTATTATAGTATTAAGTAATGAGCAAGCGATTAGCAGAGAAGTATGTCGTTGGCACTAGTACTGTTTTGGATATTAAAAAGCAAAGGAAAGAAATAAGGAGTTTGAGAGAGAGCAGTGGTGACAGGAGTAGTGACAAAAAAATCATAAGAACAAAATGGGGGGAAGCTTTGACGAGCTGCCAGCTTCCTGTCCTTTGTGCTTTTTCCTGATTTTCCTGACCTTACATTATTTTACACAGCTTCAGGTGGAGTCTACAAGAAGATGCAGTGGAGGTCTTTACCATGGGATCCTTCAGAGTGCTGCCAAGATAATGCACAGTGAGGGTTTAACTGCTCTCTGGAAGGGACATGTCCCAGCACAAGCCCTTAGCATCAGCTTTGGAATAACACAGGTGAAATTTATCATCTACATAGATTAAATTTTTTTTGTCTTTTTCATGATATGGTGACATTGTAACTCGTCTTTCAAAAATTATATAGGCTTTATTTAATCTGGATTATAAACCCATGGAACCACCTACTTACCTAAGCCATAAATGCCAAGACATTACTTCATTTCAAAATCCATTTTGAAAAAGGCCTTTGAAACAATGGCGGGGGTACCTTTAACGAGCCACTGGCTTCCTATCTCTGTTGAGGCCACTAGGGTGATGGTGGCCCTCTGGTAAATTCAGTTAAATATGTAGTTGTATCCCAAAAAAATGTACATTTTATAACACATACAGTATAGCACGGGTGTCAAACATGTGGCCTGCGACCCACTCACTGCTTCAACTGCACCTTGAGCAGTTTAGGTTAGTAGTACAGTACAGTATTGCATATACAGTACTGTATATTGGGTAATTTGTTTTTGTCTGTTCTGTCCATTTAAAGTGAAGTGCATGTAGGTCCAGTAGTGCATGATTCTTGTGAATGTTAGTTCAGTAGATATTAATTATGGTTCAAATTTAATCACCAGACTAATTTTTACAGTCAACTCGAAGAGGAAATGATGCCCTTTACTGTATTTTCTATTGCAGCTCATGAAAATACAGATGTAACCAATTCACCATAACTTGTAATTTTAATTGATAATGTTAATGAAAATGTACAAGTAACTGAAGCGTTTGAAGAACTGATATCAGTAAAATGACAGCCACATCAGGTGACGCTATCTTTCAGTTTGATATAAGTGCTATACAAAGTAGGAGTTTATTACACAAAAGCTGTATGCCTGGCTATGTATGGAGCAAGGCAAATGATTGGTAGAAAAGCTGGTGTGGCTTCTGAATTAAAGGAAAATCCACTAGTTGTGAAGGCCAACCATGAATTTCTCATTTTAATTGAATTATTTACTGAGCAGTGTTATGCAGACTGAAATATGAATGTGAAGTCTTGACTACAGACAAGTTAACTGCTTTTGGAAGAAAAAAAAAGAACTATCCTCATGGACTGCTATATCACACTGATGTTCAGTAGTTGAGTAAATGAAATTTGTTGTTTTAGAATTGGTGCAGCATAATATACTGAGATGGTATAGGATACGTTGGTAGAATTACCTAGTCTTTTAACGAGAGATGTGTAAAAGGGTGGAAATAATAAACCATATGGTAAGGGCAGATGATCAATGGGTCGGAAGAGAAGGTTGGAACAATGTGGTTTGGCTTTATTTCCCATTGTTGGTACAAGAACCTTATTAGGCTTATTGAGATCCCTCTAGGCCATCTGCTAATCTGTCCCTGGATGTAACCCACAAGTTACCCAATTCCCAGGTTACTATTTGTTGCTAGGTGAACAGGGGCATCATATGAAAAGAAACATTTCTCAAATGTCTGTCTTGTGGTGGGGATTGAACTTGAAATCTTTTAGTTGCAAACCAACTACTGTATATTGCACTACAGATCTCAATACTGTACAGTATACAGTATATGGAAAATCAGTTTGGAGTGGGAGAAGTGTTTAAGAACTTCATGTAGTGAAAGGTTTATGTGGTGATGAAAAGCCTACTGGAGTAACGTCTGCTGTGGTCATCTATTAATGCAAAGCTCAAGGGAGAGATTATAGTACTGGGGCTATAGATGGATAGATAGGAATACAGATTACTCTATTCTGAAATATATTTCACTTATATTTCAGAATAAAGTAAGAATAAATTAAATTTCACTTTTATTTTATTCCTTTAAAATTTGTTTGCAATACTATTAAAATGTTTGTCTTCACCACAAGTAAAAGTACTCATAGTAGAAATATGTTCCTCAGTTTTGGAGCTATGCTGTCTTGACAAAAGCAGCCAATAACCGTGGTATTGGTGAAGGATATTTAACTCACGGTGTTTGTGGAGCGCTGGCAGGAATATGTGGTACGCTGGCATCTTTTCCATGTGACATAGCACGGACAAGACTAATTGCTCAAGGAATTCCAAAGGTAATGTGAAATAAGTGATGAAAAATATATATATATATATATAATACAATGGAGTCTCTCAGATTTAGCATTAAACTAAAAATATACAAAATACAGTATTGTTCATTACTGTATTGTACAGTATATCCAGAGTTCAATAACTACTCAGCAGCACAATTTGAGAGACTCCATTGTAGATAAAATATATAGGTCTTCTAGTCATTACTTTAGTTAGTTTTGGCAATGCTATGTGGTTTGTTTATATTACATTTAAGTGAAAATTTGTATTTCCTTATGAAATGCAGCTGTCTTGTAACAAATATTTTTCCCAGTGTTACAGTGGGATGTTGGATGCGTGGAGAAAGATGTTACATCAAGAAGGGATATTTAGCCTTTGGCGAGGCTTGGTGCCCACCCTGGCCATGACTGCTCCGTACACTGGCCTCACCTTTTGCTTTTACAATGCTTTTTTCAAATTAGCTTCCAAGAGTATTGGGAAAGGTAAGATGATGTAATCAGTTATCCATAATATGGGAAAAATTCCAAAATGATGAGAAAATATTTAATTTGCTACCAAAGTCTGAAGCAGCTAATTCTGGCACTGTAGCAGCTGGTTAGTTCCTGCAATTGCTGACCATTTAGCATGACATGCATGCAAGCTTCAGGAATCAGGTTTCTGGTCCTCCTGGTTTGGGTAAGGGTTCTTATGGTGCCAGTGTCTAGAGCTGTTGCATTCAAAACAAGCATTTAGCTTGTTTTCCTTCTAGGCAGAGATATTCCGAAAATATTTTTGAAGGGTTGGAGCACGTTGGGGTGCTTTGGGGCTTGCTTTTTTGATGGGCTGGTACTCTTGATGCCTGGTTATTTAAAGTCATTTCCCAGAGCCTTCAATGGGTGTGGTCCTTGACCTCTGTTTTGGCGTCACAGGTGCTGTCTCTGCTGTTCGTTCTGCTGCAGTATAAGATTGTTGCAAATATGGATGGCTGTGTAGGTGGTTGAGGTATTATTCTCCCTGCAGTGAATATATCTGGTGTTCCTGGTCCCCAAGTGGGATGTGAGCATTGAGCAAAATGTAGGGAATGACTCCCAGCCTCCATCATTGAGCAGGACACAGGAGGAACCCACAGTATAAATGACCAAGCCCCACAAAATACCCACAGCCTCGCATGATGTCCAAAAAGACAGCACTGAGACCCAGGACCAAAGATGACACCTTGGAAAAGATGACCAGGATCAAATGTGAGAGGGTTACAGGAAGGAGGTAATGAAAGGAGGAACCCAAACCAGGCCAAGAGGGTTCTGGAGAAGAACTGGCTGGAAGTGCTAAAGCCCAAAACAAACTCTGTAACAATGCAAACAAAAGTGGCCACATTGAAAGCCAGCAAAAGAAGCTCCAATAAGCTGAATGAAAAAACCCAACAGCAGCAGGCAATTGCTGACGGTCAGCCGAAACCAGGGCTGAGAGAACACGACCATCTTGGTCGATGCCAGTTAAGAGGGACAGAGAAAAACAAAAAGCAAGCCAAGCCATCACATGACCAGAGCCAAGAAGATAGCTGCAGGAGTAGCAGTATAAAACCATTCAGCCACACACCAGACAGACTTGAATTTCTGATCAAGAAAAGCCAGATGTGAAAAATAGCAAAGCCCAAACTTCCATGAGACGCCCAACCACCCAAACTACCAAGCTCCTAACCAATCTCATGTAGGAGACAGAGCCTGGAAGACACTTAGGTTTATAAACCAAGCCCCAAGACCCAGACATAAAGATGTAACTGACAATTAAGGGAGGGTACCCCACAAGTATCCAGTCTGGAAATAAAAAAAAAAAAATTGAGCGGGAAGGAATTCCCAGCAATTGTAGGTCTGGGTCAGGCAAAAAAATGTCAATTGCAAACATCTCTCAAACCAGGAATGAGGGAGACACAGAAATCATATTGAAACAAAGAACATCAACAGAATGACCGTACAGATTGAGTCTCACTAACCAATCTGTCCTCTTAAAAATAGTCGCTTTTCGCTCGTATGCGTGCTATGGCCAAAAATGGATGTTATTTGAAATGAAATTGGCTCACAAAAGTAATGTACTGGCCCGTTTTCTGTTCGGGTCCTCCGGCTTACTTGGAAAGGTTAGGAGAGGAAACTTTTAATTAACATTTTTCATGACTTAAAACTTTCGGAGAATTTCCTGCCCTCTTAGCCTACCAGAGGACCCTTAACTTACTGTTTTGGAAAAAAATCCCAAATTTATTTTAAATCTTTTTCATTTTCAAATTACGTCTATTTTCAGCCATACGGGTAAACGACCAAATTCAGACGTAATTTGTAAGAGGCCAGGTTACAATAACGTGGCTGAAGAAGGTTAACCAAACCACACACTAGAAGATGAAAAACTGGAGTTTCGGTTCGTCCTGGATCATTATCATAATCGACTTGATAATGGTCCAGGACGGACCAAAAGCCGTCGTCTTTTCATCTTCTAGTGTGTGGTTTGGTCAACATGACCGTATAGCTCGCAAAACCAATGGAAGGACATATCGCTGACCATCTACCCTGTCAAAGAGGACAGAACACAAGGAAAGACTGGCTGTGAGCACTGTTGACACATCAATAAGGAGAATCTGTGGATTCAAACCCCCAAAAAACAGAAACAGAGCAACAACCAAGGTCAGCCCCAAACCAAAAGAAACCGAACCTAACTTCATTGGGGAAACAAAGAACCACAAGAGGAGACGGGAAACCAGATCAAGTGGACCCAAGAACGAAAGTGCAGCAGAGCACCTTGCCAAACCTAGACACGCACCTGTTGGAGGAATATCCCATAAATTAGGACAACCAGCCATGAACCCATAGATAAGCTGAGGTACTGTACCTTGTACAGGGCAAACATAAGATGCTGTGGAACTAACCCCAAAGGCTGGAGAGGGAAATGGCAACAGAAAAACCAGAAGGAAACGGACCACTCCTGAAGGTCCCCAGTGAAGGCAAAATGGGAAAGTCTGTGGTGCCAAAAGCAAAGCTCAGCAGGATGACCAAGTAGGCAGAAACTGACCATCTCAAAACCCCTTGAAGTGAATGATGCAACCAAATGAGAGAGATTTTGTACCAAGACTAGTGGTGGTTAAAAAAGGAGCAACATTCCGATGGCTCAGATGTTGTAAACATTATCAAAGCAATTGCTTGTTTTGATGTGCTCCTTGATAAAGAGGTAATCTTGTATTCCCAGGCACTCTTATGCCTTTGATGGGGGCGAGATCTGGTCTCTGGTAGGCACTTGTGATTCATTAGAGCCTCGTGTGGTACTTAGGTTTGGATAATTTCAGGTGTGTAGCTCAGGGAGATACAGTGGGAGCCTTCCCAAAGAATTTTTTTTATGTCTAGTGTACAAACATACAGTACTTCAATGCTATTGTTTTGTCTCAAACTGGTAGTTATTGTAATATATTAGTAATAGTAATTATGAAAAGAAAGCCCCATGCTTAGAAGGCTATGAAGCACTATCACAGAATAAAAATGTTCTTGATATCATTCTGGATACCAATCCAGTACAGTCCTGTAATAAAATGTATAACAACTCGCAACAGATAGTGAAGCATCATGGTTAAGCTGCAGCGGAGTGAGTGGTTTGGCATCAGGGGTGTGTGCTAAAGTGTGCGTCTACCCTCTCGATGTCTTCAAGAAGAGGATGCAAATAAGAGGTTTTGAGGAAGCTCGCAGGCAGTTTGGCAAGGTTTGTGCATTTTAAAAATTACTATAGATTGCATTTATAAAACAAAGATTAATCCAATGTGAGCCAGGAATTTGAAGTTGCAGTGGGGTCGTGGAAGTATGGGCTACCAACAAAGGAAGCCACTAGTCGTAGACGTGTGATGACAACAGCAAACACCAGTGATTACAGTATTAATGTCTTTATATATGTGCAAATGATTAAATGTATCAATTATGGAACTGAGAGTGGATAAAAGAAAGTAAAATAAAATGTGTACTGTATTTGTACATATTTTGACACCAAAATTACGGCACATGTAAAAGTACAATTTTAATATACAAAACATAACCTAGTTGAAATTGTTTCCTATTTATTGTCAAGGTAAATATATATTAGTGGGAATTAGATATTTATTCACACTTAATCCTTATATTTTAACGAGCACAAATAACCAAACTACATTTTTTGTTAAATAAGCCTACAAAATACAGTAATACCAGAATGAAGGCAACAGTAGTACCCGTACAGTACCAAGATACAAAATTACACTCACATACCACTTAATCAGCCATATCCGAACCCACTTCCAGAGGATCTGATGACTTCGATAGACTTTACAGTGCAATACCATAATCACATATTCATATTGTGGTTAGTTATTGCTATGTTTACCAGGACCAAAATCTTCCCCCCCCCCCTTCCTCTGTATAGGCAAGGGGGTACTTGACCACCACAATAACCAATGGAAAAACTTCCCAAAAGGTAGAACACAACAGAACAAGCAATTGCTTGGACATCCTTTGCAACCCTGATTTGAACAATGCATACCACTCGTTGCCCAGGACCAACTGCTAGTAAAGACATATTTTAACACATCATTTTGAGATTTTCAGATTTACTGATTCTGCAGATGTGTTTAGATATACACAAAAGCAGTCAAACAGTTTCCAATTTCTATTTCCTTCATGGTTAGGTTAGCCAACCAAACCCTATGAATAATCAAATGAACCTTTGACTTCACGGAAAAGAAAGTACTTAGTAGTTATTCAACTGTCAAATCTTTTGTGCACCCACATTTGAACTACTATCAAAGCATAGCTTTGATAGTAGACCATAGTTTGATAGTAGCTTTGATAACCTTCACCTTCAGAAGGACATAGAAATTATAGAAAGTACAAAGACGTGCAATAAAAATCATCCCAGAACTAAGTTAACTCATACAAGCAAAAGTTAAGTGCTACAGGACTAACAAAACTGCAAACCAGACATGACATAGTGGATCTCGTAGAAACTGTTAGCATACTGAACAAATTTAAGGATATTAATCCAGACAACTTCTTTAAAAGGTCACATGTAACAGACAAAGGAAAAGAGCTTCAAGCTCAACAAGCCACAATGTAAGATGGAAAACAGGAGATACTTTTCCACCCATAGGGATATAAAACCATGGAAACATTTATCTACCAAAGCTGCAGTTTAAATGCCACTTAGAAAAAATTCAGGAAAAATAGACTTGACAGGTCACCAGCTTCCTATTCCTATCATGGCCATTAAATAGATGGTGGCCCACAGGTAAATCATTAATCACATTTGTCATTGTGCATACATCAAAGGCTACATATTTTCATACAATATACATAAACTGTACCTTACTATCCCAGCATTTTAACCTTTTGTTTTTAGAATGTATGCTATATTTCAGGTTGTTGTGTACCCAAGTACTTTGAAATGCATCAGTCAAGTTACACAAGAAGAGGGTATCTTAGCTTGGTATAAAGGGCTGTGGCCAGCCATGTTGAAGAGTGGTTGTGCATCAGGAAGTATATTTATAACATATGAAGCTACCTGTCGTATTCTTGCTCACATGTATCGCACTAAAGAAAATAGTGATAAATGATAAGGAAAATTAAATCTGCAGTAATATCATTATTATGACCCACCTCACATTCTACCTGTTTGTGATAGAATTTGAACCGTGCTTGGGTTGTATGCTGTAAATGTGCAGCCTAAAAAAAAAAAGACACCAACATCGACAGACACCCGATTTATTTATTTTGTTTCAGAAGGCGAGTGCAGTAGCCTGTAGGACAATCTGTACCGCTAAGTGTGTGAGTTGGAAAGTTTGTCACCATCATTACCGCTGACACCTCTCTCTCCACCATAACGCTGACACCTCTCACTCCACCATAACGCTGACACCTCTCTCTCCACCATAACGCTGACACCTCTCACTCAGATCTGGAAGAAAATTACTAAGATTGTGGGTATATTTGTTCCAGACATCTTGTCCATCCTTCACCTCCATGGTTCTGTTACTCACTTAGTTGTGGTTGAGCTTTGGCTCTTTTGTCCTACCTCTCAACTGTTGAGGCAGTTCTGGTGTTGGTTGAGAATGAACTGGTTCACACTTTTCAACAGTTAGCGCTGGTACTCGTCTTCTTCCTACTTTCCTTACTCGTAAACCCCATTATCGAATCTCATCTCTTAGATTTTAGCACCCACCTACAGCTCCACTATAATGACCTTTTCTCTCTTTCTGAACTCCAGTCTGCCCTAACCCTCTGCAGTTCTACATCAGCAGGCTTGGACAGCATTCATTGAGATGCTCCGTCATCTTCTCCAGTGCACTTTTCAATACAATACTTACTAAATATCTATAACAGTATTTGGGAGACATTATAAGTCCCCAATGACTGGATTGAAGCCATTGTTCTTCCTATTTGGAAACCCAGTACTTAAGGGGCTTCCTCTAAGGATTTTTGCCCTATTGCACTGATAAGTTACATTTGCAAACTTTTTGAACGTATGATCAATGTATGTCTGAAGTGGTTCTTAGAACACTATCGCCATTTCTCCCCCTCTCAATTTGGCTTTTGCAAGTGTCGCAGCACAACTGATGTTTTAATGGCCTTAGAAGTCTACTTCGTTCGTACTGCCTTTGCTGCGAAGGCCTCCATTGTTGCAGTTCTTTTTTACCTGGAAAAGGCTTATGATGATACCTGGAGAAAACATATTCTGTCTCAACTACGCTCTTTTGGCCCTTGTGGCAATCTCTCGCTCTTCCTTCAAAGCTTTTTTTTCTAGTTGTTCGTTTAAGGTGAGACTTGTACCACTTTCTCATGACTCCTTTCGACAATATGTAAGTGTTCCGCCAAGGTAGTGTTCTGAGCACTACTCTTTTTTTTTTACTAGTTGCCTTAAATGCTCTTCCTACTGGTATTCTTTCCGCCCTCTATGTTGTTGTTCTCACTCACTGCTGTCGGGGTGATGACTCGCCTTCCAACAACAGTTTCAACTTGCAATTGATGCCATGTTGTCCTGGAGCCATGGCTTCAGGTTCTCTACAACTGAGACTTGTGCTATGACTTTTACTCGGAAACAGGTCATTCTTCGTCCACCATTGTCAATGTACAGAAAATATGTATATATTGCCTCTATTAAAAATAAAGGTTGGACAGATTTGTATTAATATGTAAATTAATTAAATATGAATATTATTATTACTTGGCCTTACTATTCAATTCAACCTTCCAACTTTTACACTATGCAACTGCTCATCGAAACTGCACTGACCATGCTCCCTCTACCTTTGTTTACATGGGAGCCACATTACGAGTTAACAACAGTTCTGGTGTGAAGCTATTCCTGTCAACACCCAAGATTCTCCCGGGAATATTGCTAGTATGTTTCTACTACTGTATCACAAGACACCACCCAAACTCGCCTTGAATAACGCCAGCTACTATATCATAAGCTGGTGAATAGAATCCAACGTCCCATAAGCGTCTTCGTGCTTACTCCGAAAGCTAACGCACAAAGCCTTAATGCCATGTCAAGGTAAGGGCCAAGTAAAGTTAGGGCCTTTGCTAGTAGAGCTTCACCTCATATTAGTGTTATAGCCAATGGATACTGATAAAATAAAGCTCTTCCAATATTCACTTTTATTATTTGGCAATTATTGTACATTTAGCAAAAATCTAACTTCTTAACATTTGGTAATTTCTTCCTTTGACAGCCATGGGGGTTGTGCCATGCTGGTTTAAATTCATAATTCTCGGTAAGACCTTCACTTGGATATACTGATGATAGAATTATTCTTAGTATATTAGTTTTATATTTCACCTTTATGTTCCAGGTGTTCAGTTGTTAATATTGAGGAAAAGGGACTAATGTATTTGTACAGTTTACAATATTAAAGTATGGTAATATTATTTTACAATTTACAGTATGGTAATATTTTAATTTTTACTCTATGAAATTTGATACTGTATATATTAATTTTAAGATTTATATAAATCATTAATTGTTGTAATTTCTTTATTTTAGATTGGAAGGTAAGCCGAATGCAGCCTGAATCACATAGTTATTAATAAGGACAGTTTGTAAAAATAGTATATAATTGATCTGTTTGACAATAGAAACAGTTACTGTATTCTGTTTTGGTTTTTGGGGCCCGCTTTATGATGATCCCCTTCTGTATAAAGATTCTGCTAAACTTTTGGAGTTTATCTTTGCCTTCCATTTGTCTTAGTCACATACATCTTGCCTCAGAGTTGAATGTTTAAGGTCTTGTCCCATACTTCCTGGGGAGCTGATAGATGCACACTCTTCTATCTGCAGTCCTCTCTTGTGCTGTCTAGACTTGATTATTATTGTATTATTATTATTATTATTATTTTGTATTTATATATCCAAGAGTTCTTACATTTCTTGTACAGCCACTAGCATGCATAGTGTTTTGGGCAAGTCCTTGATCCTAATTTTTTCTGGAATACGACCCGCCAAATCGTTTAACAACCAGAATCGTTTACCCATTCACTGCTGGGTGAACAGAGGCTACAGTTGAGGATTGGCACCCAGTCACTCCTCCCTGGCCAGGATACAAACCCAGGCCAGAGTGCTCGTGAAGTGTCGGGCGAGTGTTTTACGTACCACAGGGACTGAATCCCATGGGGATTATGGTAGTTCCGCCTACTACTCCGCCTCTGCAACTCATCATCATCTTGCTGCTCTTTCATAATGAGTTATACCTCAGCTCGGGTACCTTTCGTTCATCTACCCTGAATTTGTATGTTGGAATCGGCGTCCTGTGTCTACATACCCTGAATCTGTATGCTGGAACCTGCGTCCTGTGTCTACAGGATTGTCATGATCGTTACTGCCTTCACTACCTTGTGCGGTCCCTGCAACATCCTCACTCTCGTTTTATGTTGTGCTTAGACTGTTATCCCTCATATGGGCTCTTCCCTTTCACCACCTTTTTTTCTGTATGGATGTCACGCTTGCAAGATTCCCCCAGTTCATATTAGCATTCTCTCTCCTAGTATTTCATCTTTACCCCCATGGAAGGTTCCACTTGCAAAGTTTAGCAAGACCTTGACCCACAAGGTAAAGGCTTCTACCCCTGCTACGGTTCTGAAACGCTTTTTCCTTTAACACCTTTCTTTTCACTCTTGCTCCTTTGCCCTCTTCACAGATTGGTCTAAGTCTGCTGTCTTTCCTGCCGTCTTGCGATGGTCAGGAACGACTCCTGTACTCTGTTGTCCTCCCTGACCAAACCTATATGTGCCGTCTGCCTCCGAAGACTAGCATCTTCACAGCTGAACTTTATGCAATCTTGGAGTCATTTAACACTATGCATCCTGTGGTAGTCTAAATGCAACATTAGCTATTTCTTATCTCTAACAGATTTAAAACAGTTGAGTTTTGCTGGGTTCGCAGCCATATTGGTGTTGCCTTCAATCAACATGCGGATACTGCTGCTAAGGAGGCTGTCCCTCACTTGTCCTATTTCCAAAGAAAGGCATTCTTTATTCGGACTAATTTATTCACTAATTCCTCAATCCACGACTGCTGTCAGGGTCACTGGTCTGAAGTTACAGGTATATAATAATAAACTGCACTCTCAAAATTAACATTTCTTGGCCTTCCTCCTACCACCGTAATAGATGATGGGAAATGGCTTCGGCTAAGTTACGTATTTGCCATTCACGCTTAACTCGTGGACGTTTAATGGAATGATGCCGGCTTCTTACTATCCAAACTGCATTGTCACACTTAGTTTTGCACCTTGTGGAATGTCCTGATTTTCAGGACTATCGTGTGTCTTGCTTTCCTAATGTCCCTCAACAAAATCCTTGGTGAATCTGATACCTTTGATATTGCTCACCTTATGTGCTTTTGTTCTCATATTGGCATCCTCAGTAATATTTAGCACCTTTTGAATATCCCAAAACACTGGGATGGTGGTACAGTCTCCCCAGCTTTGAGCTGTCTTTTGATAATTACTCACTCCAAATATAGTAAATACAACCATTTTTCCATTTGAGGTAGAGTATTGTTAATGCTTCAGAGGCAACATAGAACAAGCATATTAATGAACATACAATACATTCTGGCTGTTGTCTGTTTTATCTTTGCTTAAATCTAATTTTTGTATAGATACTAAATATGGGCACATTTCAGTATACTTGACTGTGCTCCAGGATGAACAAAAATCTTTTTATCTTTCTCTAGTTTAATGTATCGATTTAGTATTCATGACTGTCATGTTATTCCAGGTAAAGCCTGTGTGTTCCTTCATATTATAAAGGAACTTTTTTTTTATAATAAAGTGACAATATACATATTACCACTTTTCTTGAGAATTGGAGGAACATTTGTCAAGTTCCTACAGTAGTTGCATAATAAGTTTACATATTATATACAAAAAAATGTGCAGTAGTTAATGTTACATAGAACAAAAAATAAATGCACTGAAAAAACGGCAAACTTTTAAAGCAGTAACAAGATATTGCACATCAACATATATATATAATGATCCTGGAAATATTTGTTTCTAGTACAAATGTGATAAAATTATGTCCTAAAAATACTGAGGAAAACAACTTGTTACATAACAATGGTTTTAGTCTGCTTGGTATAATTTTGTTTTGTTTATTATGGACCTATATAAACTATCCTACAGGTGGTGGTGGAAAGGGTGATTATGAGTGTTAGGTACTGTGGCTGTGTAGTGCTGAAGTAAAAACTGTGAATCTACATTGGGACAAGTAGTGTTCTGTGATTCTGCAGTGTTGGGATTTTCTGTGATTCTACAAGGTTGGGGGGGTAGACATGCACTTACTAGTGTTGGGACATGCACTGTTAACCAGTGTTCAGCTAGAGACAGTAAGTGTGTACCACCACCACCCAGCCAGCCAGCCCCAGATCATAATGGTAAGTTAGAAACAGCACCAGTTCCAGTGCCATACTATACCATCCATAATAAATTATTTCTAAAATTGAATACAGTAATATATATATATATGCCATAATAAGAAAGTGTAGTTTCAATAAACTATTACACTGGAACCAACTTGGAACATATACACACTAGAGCCATCTTGAAATATATACAGTACTCAGAAGAGCCACCTTGAAACATGCACTCAGTAGAGAGGGCAATAAGATGCCATTTGACCCACGGTAAGAACCACTGATCTCGATGATGGAGGTTATTCTAGTTTGATCTATGTTGGTTGACCTCTGAATCAGCGGAGTGAGGTGTCTTGAGTAAGAACCTTGACTGTGAGCCACCGAACAACTTCTCTCCAGATTGGCAAGATGTCCGTGTTAATGACCTCTCGAGCCCGCATCCTGCACCTGTATCTATACACATCACATTCTTGTGACCTGCAGTGACAAAATTTTGAATGTGTAATGAGCTGCAGGACAAAGGGGAAAATATTATTGAGGTTTACAAATGGGTTAGGGGCATAAACATAAACAACAACAGGTCAGAACCGGCAACAATGGGTACAAAAGAATTTTAGGGATGTAAAGAAGTATTGGTTTGGAAATGGGATTATGGACGAGTTGAATAGGCTACCGTTATCGAGAAACTGTTTAATAGGTTTCAAGAACAGATAGGTATACAGTACAGTATACAAGTGAGAGGTGATGGACTTAAACTGAACCATCCTAGTACGAGTTAACGTACGTGTTGTGGTGCTCCCTAATTCTATTGTTTTCATGTTCCTATTTCTTACTTTTTACCTGAATTCATGTTCCTATTTCTTACTTTTTACCTGAATTTACCAAAGGGCCACTAACACTAGTGGTCTCGGCAAGGGCAGGAAGCTGGCAGCTTGTCACAGGTCTGCCCCATTTGTCCTGATGATTATTTCAGGCTGGATCTTAAAATTCAGGTGTTTTGGCATTTACTTTGGTGGGTAGGCCATGCCATGGGTTTATAACCTTGCGAGTGAAAAAGCATCTCCTGTTTTCAGTCTTGCATTGTGGCTTGTTGAGCTTGAAACCGTTGCTTTTTGTCTGTTACATTTGACTTTTTGAAGACTTTGTCTCCTCTAAATTATTCAGTACCATATTTTTGATGAGATCCGCCCTGTCAAGTATTTTATGTATATTCTCATATATCATAGAGGCAGGCAATGTAAAGTTTTTAATATTTAGTGTGAAATAAGTTTGTTTACCGTTTTTATTTTTAACAAAAAACATGTAATACAATACTCCAGATGGGGCCGCACTAGAGACTACAGCTGAATAACTACCTTTCTTTTCCTTAAAGTCTGTAAAGGAATAGTAATACAATGTTGTACTATTTAGGTAAAGGTGGTATTTCTAGCTTTTGCATCTTTAACGCCGCATTTTAATCACCGTTTAAACTATATTTGTAATAAACTGGGGGGGACAAAATAAGATGCATCAAATAATATATACACTTATTGGGTGGGTGGTGGCCGAGTGGACAGCACTCTAGGCTCGTAGGTCTAGGGACCGGGGTTCGAACCCCCGGCACCGCCGGAAAACAAATGGGCAGTTTCCTTCACCCTGATGCCCCTGTTACCTGAGAGTTAGACAGCTGCTACCTGGGTATGTGTACTCACCTAGTTGTGTTTGCGGGGGTTGAGTTCTGGCTCTTTGGTCCCGCCTCTCAACCATCAATCAACAGGTGTACAGATTCCTGAGCCTATCGGGATCTGTCATATCTACATTTGAAACTGTGTATGGAGTCAGCCTCCACCACATCACTTCCTAATGCATTCCATTTGTCAACCACTCTGACACTAAAAAAGTTCTTTCTAATATCTAATATTGTGTGTGTATATATGTATGTGTGTGTGTGTGTGTGTACTCGCCTAGTTGTGCTTGCGGGGGTTGAGCTTTGGCTCTTTGGTCCCGTCAATCAACTGATGTACAGATTCCTGAGCCTACTGGGCTCTATCATATCTACAATTGAAACTGTGTATGGAGTCAGCATCAGTTCATAGTGCATTCCACCTAGAGTGTGTGTGAAAAAATAGTAGTTAGTAACAGTTGATTGAGGCGGGCCGAAAGAGCAGAGCTCAACCCCCTCAAGCACAATTAGGTGAATACACTGAGTTTTCTTTAGTCCTGGACTATGTTTGGGACAATCAATATACAAAAGTATACTGGTTGGTTGGTCAGCCAGTTATTGTGGTGGCCTTAATTGGGGGGGGGGGTAATGTGAGAGTATGGTCTCTCAAGATCTCCCACAGCTGACTTGAATGGCTCATTGCGGTGCACCTAGTCGTGCACTTAATTTAATAACCCTCCCGCGGTTGAAAGACTTGAGCCCAACACCAAATAAACAAGACTTACCGATCTTCCCCAGTCTTGACAGCTTCGATGTATGAAAGGAGCCTCGCTCCTTCTGCGGTCCTCAACAAGGTGCGACTTAGCTCCTGGGCATCTCCTGGGAACCTACCAAATTAATTTAAATTTTGTAATGAACTCGGTTAGAAAAATGCACTGAGGTACGTTAGTTTACCTCACTTACTTTACTTAGTGAAGATGCTGATGTCACTACTAGATCAGAAAATCTGGTAGTTGTTGATGCAGTTACTATAGGACATATATGGTAGTTATTACTAGTTAAGGTGGAATTACTAGAATATTAAGAAATATCGTACCTGATTGCATGAATACTATAGGAAGATGTTTAATGTTGAAAAACATATGGTTCTGAGCTTGGTTATATGAATGGTTACCAAATATCAATGTTGAAATTGTGAATCTGGGTATAACAAAAATGTGGGAGTAAAGATTAGACATTTTCTAAAGCCAAAGAATCGATGCATAACTGTACGGAATGAAACAAATAGAATAGTCTTTAGGAAGATGAATTATAGTCAAATCAAGATGTGGCAACAAGCCTGGGAAGAGATTAAAGGTCATAAATACCACTATGGCCGCGTGATGCTTTATGAGTGCGGAAGGAATTAAGATAACTTTACCTAGTCTCCCCATTAATCATGCCAGAGAGCGGGTCAAATGTGTCAGGTTCCCGAGAAACCTCGCATAATACTCGTCGACGGCATTCTTCGTGGTCCAGGTGAAGGTTAGTGAAGAGATAGTCCAGGCGGGATAGGCGGGTACTGACGTCAAGGTCTCTCTTAGCTCCTGTACCTCCCGATGGGATGTCGTCGAAGGACGTCAGCTGGAAGGGAGGGCTGATATCCGACGAGGAAGGATAGTCAGAGGATGGAGGATATGAAGAAGAATAAGGATGATAAGAGGCTGGGTGAGAAAAAGATGGCCGCGGACGTGGGTAGCGGCGCGTGTCGATTGGAGCACCAAAATCTAGACCTGGAGGACAGATTACAGAAGTTTGAGTATCATAAACGTGAAATTATTTCTCATTCAGTAAATCGTTAAATAAATATTAAAGGTCTGAGGAGTGAGAAAAGTGCATTAAGAACATGGTGGCCTTCAGTAAAATCCTATATTTGCACAACATCTTTGCAATGATTGCTATTGACATCACTGATGGGCTTCACAACCAGCACGTACTTGGCGTAACTTTGTCGTCTGAGTTGAGAATGTCATTGTGGGAGAGAAGATGGCCACCGCCCCACAGAACTCTGTCGTTGTGTCCCTGGCCAGCTGGTCCCAGGGATGATGACCCGTGGCTCAGTAGAGGAGCTGTTGGCGTCGCTGTTGTCTGCTCCTCGCCTATGGTAACCCAGCCGTCTTCAGAGTCCTCCGAGCTCCTCTTCTGTCTTGAGTTTAGTTTGTTCTCATCGACGTCTGAAAACTTGAATGCTTCTATAGTGTTGATGTCTCTGCCAGTAAAATGGTCAAGGTAAGGCAGGACCCAATCTAGGAAATTTTGAACTCCTTTTTCTACAAGTGGGCCTTCTAGGCCGCCAAGAATATCACTTGAATTGGTGGTCAGGTGCTTGAGGAAGAGCTTGGTGATGTAAGCGGTGGGGTTTGGTGACTTGAATGCGGTTGTCAGGTCACGGCTGCTCACCAAGAACCCGCCGATGCTGATTGGGATCCAGAACTGAAGTGCAACATGGACGTAACCTCCCGGAGTGAAAGGCGGCACAACATACTTTATCTGGAAGATAAAAGATAGGCTTTGCTAATCCTTGTCAACAGCCTTATTACAATAGGTGTCAGACCACTAAATAACTGATCAAGCATTTAATTCATGGAAAAAAATGTTGGAATATTTACCACAAGAAATATGATTATAGCTTTAAAATCATGAATTGTAGCATTCGGAAATTTCCTAAGCATCTTATAGTACAATATATGTGGTGCCCAGGTCTCGCCTCCCCCCCCCTCTCGTCCTTTCTCTGCTGTCTCCGCCGATCTTCCCCCTTCTCTCCTCTCCCCCTCTTTCATCTCTACCCCTTGTCCCTATCACTTTTCTATCTTTCCTCCTCGTCTCCCCTTCTCTCTCTTCTCTCCTTCCCCCTCCACCAACACCCCTCCGTCTCCTCCCCTTTCCTTCCATTTCCCCTCTACTTCTTCAATCCCCTCCCCACCTCACTCATAAAATGTATTACTGTAACAAAGATGAATTCACGTTCATCATTTTCCAGTAAATCGTGAGAACGCGCTTCTTTCATACTTCATGAAAAATCACAAAAGAGAAAGGGGGCTTCCTCCCTGTGATTTTTCATGAAGTCTGAAATCAAATTTGACGTGTGTTTTCCATAGCTTTAGTCTTACTAATGTCGTTTACTCGCGCGTTCTCACGATTTACTGGATAACGATGAACGTGAATTGTTATAGAATACATGGTTGAAGTTCTTGGTGTACAAGGGTGGAGCATGTGTTGCGCCTCCCCCCCCCCCTCCCCACTTGTAGGGGGGCTACAGATGCCTATATTTTTTCTAAAGCATGACACTTTGGTCGATTCTGACTGGTTTATGATACATAGCCCACATGTTTCATGCTGCGTGAGGCTAGACCCAAGCGCCTGACCACCTACTTTCGACAGACATTTTGTTTTATATAGATGAATGCATTTAAGTAATGAATTTCAACTATATACTGTTTGTAGACTCCTAAATTTGAAGCACTCATAGATGTGTAGATGCCTCTGGGAGGGCTTTAACGGTACAGATGACTATCTGAGTGTTCATAATGGTATAGATGCCTCTGGTAGTGTTCCCAATGATGTAGATGTCTCTGGTAGTGTTTATAATGGTATAGATGCCGCTGGGAGTGTTCATAAATGTGTAGATACCTCTGTAAAATGTTAATAAAAATGTAAATACCTCTGTGAATGTTAATAAAGGTGTAGATACCTCTGCATTAATGTTATGTAATAATAGTTACAGTGGCATAACCGTACATGGCAAGGCTCACATCGTTGTTCTGAAGACCACTGTAACCGTTGTTCTGGTTTCCGTAGTTATTTGGGTAGAAACCGAACATTGTTGGAGGCCGGAAGTTGTGATGGTGTGGTGCAGGGCGGGTGTTCCACCAGGGCGGTGTCTGCGCCCGCCCTTCTTTGTTGATTCTCCTGTTGACCGCCATCTTGCCCTCCGCCTCGTCAGGGTGCATCATGTATCTGCAACCACCATGCTAATTAGTATTATATATCTGAAAAATCTACACTACTTATTTTAAAACTTCTGAATCCAGATCACCGGCTCAAGCTGTTATGTAAACATTAATTATATAAATCTGTGGTGCGGCCCCACTTGGATATTTGTATCCTAGCATGGAGACCTCATTTTCAGAAGGACATGCATGGCTGCTTTCGAAAAAGTTCAACATCGGGCAACAAAAATCATTCCAGAGCTAAGTCATCTCTTGTATCAGGAACAGTTCAGGGCTACAGGGCCAATAATACTGCAAACCAGGCATGACAGGGCGTATATCTCAACGAAACTTTCAGAATACTGAACAATTTAGAGAATGTTGATCTCAAGAAAATCTTCAAGAGATCAGATGTAACACAAACAAGGAGCAACGGTTTCAAGCTCAACAAACCACAATGTTGAACTGAAAACAAGAGATGCTTTTTCACCCACAGGGTTATAAACCCATGGAACCGCATACCTGCCGAAGCCTTAAATGCCAAAACACTGTTGAATTGTAAAATCCAGCTTGAAAAACAAATCAAGGCAAATGGGGGACATTTGACTAGTCACCGGCTTCCTGTCCGCGTCGAGGCCCCCCAGGAGTGTTAGTGGCCCTCAGGTAACTATATTTGTTAGGGCCTCGAAATACCCTTAATCCATGCTTATTAACTGACCAGAATTGCGAAAAACTGTTGATGTACAGGTTAACAAGATAGTTAAGCAATGATGTAACTTGCCTCTCTACACAAATATTGGCTTCAGTTCCCTTATTCTCCCATTACATGCCTATGGAACATTTTTTCCACCACCGCCCATATAACGGGTATGGGATCCACTACCACTCACAAGATTGTCATCTTACTCAAATCGCCCTTTAACTGATCAATCAATTTGATCAATCAGAACAGGTAACCTACAGGTAACCCCACGAGGACAGGTAACCTACAGGTAACTATGGGTACAGGTAACCTACAGGTTACCTATCCTCATGGGGTTACCTGTAGGTTACCTGTCCTTATGGGGTTTACCTGTACAAATGAACATCTCAAAACTATCTTCAATTAAAAGTTGAGGCATTAAATATTTCCTGAATAAGTGATATCATTACGATATTTATATGACGTAAACATTACCAAATACACAAAGGAGTACAATTACTGCACTTTACATTGTACTGAGTGTCAATAAAGAGAAGAACAGCGCCAGGAAGTGACGTCAGGGGCCGCTAACACAAGATTCTCGCAACGGTCTCCTTTCTTGTCAATAGATGGCGACATGCATCACTTCACTGACAAGACAACTTATCAAAGTGGCTCTTACGAAACACTTCAGAGGCCAGGAGTATGGGGAACAAGGTATTGACTGTCTCCGTAAGATATACAATGTATATCTTGGGGAGACGAGCCGGGCAGAGTTACTAGTTAACACAGTTACTAGTTGACATAGTTACTTGTTACCACATACTGTATACTAATTAACACAATTACACGTTAATAGTTACTAGTTAACATATTTACTAGTTAACACAGTTACTAGACCACACAGTTGCTAGTTAACACAGCTACGAGATTTCAGTGAATACAGTTACTGGTTATCACAAGTACTAGTTAGCACAGTTACTGGTTATCACAAGTTAACAGTTACTAGATGTAGGACTGACAGCAGGAGATGCTTTGATACTCACAGGGTAGGTGACAACCCACGGAACCGCCTACCCGCCGAAGCCGTAAATGACAAAAGTAATTTTAAAATCCAACTGGAAAAGATTATCATGGGCAAATGGGGGGAAACCTTTGAAAAGCCGCCGGCTTCCTGTCTTCGACGAGGCCACTAGTGTCAGTGGCCCTCAGGTAAATTCAGATAAATATATAACAGTTCAGTTACTGGTACGTTACGTAGTACCTCCGGGAGAAAATTACCAGAGATTAGGTGAGAGATAATCCCAGAGAGAGAGAGAAAGCGGTAAGGGTCGCCATTGTTCCCTGTAACTCTCTCCCACACTTTCTCCAAATTAATATTTTGAGATCTCGAGCGTTTTACATTAAAGAAAACATCAGGATTAACTTGTTTGCTAACAAAGAATAAAGGAACAGTAACAGGGGAGGTAGAAATAGCCTAAGCTACTCTATCCCTTTGAGATGTATTTCTTTATCTCAATAAACATACATGAACTTGAACAGTAACAAATATTATACACCGTGAAACGACAAAATTAATAATAATAATAATGATAATCTAGGAAAAAAATATACTGAGTGCTGAGACGTGATAATTGTCACAAAAGCCAGGTAGCTGTACACAGAAGCCAGGAAAGAGTTGACGGGAGCCAGGAAACAGTACACTGTTAGAGAGACAGAACAGTGAGAGTACTTACGGTAAGTTCCTCGCATGGCCGGCGTCATTGGCGGCCTCAGTGTGCTGCAGTACCGTTTTGTACCGTCCGATGTAGAACTTAGCGTGGGTGGGCGGTGGGGCGAGCACCGGGAGGAGAGGCAGCAGCTGCAGGAGGTGGGTCACACACACCATGGTGGGCTCACGGCACACGCCTCAGACACTCACCTCGACAATATCTAAAAAAAGAACACACATGTGATATAAAAGCGTACACAACTGAAATGTGATATAAACTCATTGTAACTTGACTATGAAGGCAGAACATTATACAATGATTCTAACTGGTCCTCCAAGACTGGTGGTTCTATAGTGACTGTGAAGGGAGCGCACAAAATATAGACTAGATCTAATTGTGTTGAGCGAGGCGGCACTATAGTTTCAGTAAGTAATACATTATTCAGGATGCAGCATTTTATCATTTCTATGCTTGTTGATAAAACTGCTTTGAAATGATTAGTATTTTATTCACATTCGGACATGCTGATGGAAGGGTCTAAATTCCCTGGAATAATTTTCTTGAGGAGCATG